TAAAGCAACAAGGATTAAAGAGAGGGTAATAAATCCACTGGAAACCACAAATGATCCTGTCTTCAGTGAAGAATACACTACTGAGAAAGTATTTATGCATTGGGCAAGGCAGCAAGCCCCAAAATAAAACAGCCTGCTGATATACTCACAATTCGCATGTTTAAAAACAGTGAGTCAGGACTCAAATTGCCAAAAAACTAGCCTTTAATAAAATGGAAGATTTAAGGTTTTTCTTATTTCATTTCTAGGAGTGGTAGCATTTGATGTCCCCATTGTTAAGCTTTGCTGTATAACAATGAGAATTACAAATCTTTTTCCAAGATCATCTGAGATTATCAAGAAATACCCTGGTGCCCACACTAAGGGCTCTGAGTCAAGCATGAAGTATCAAAAAAACTAGTGGTAACACTGAGGAAGTCACAATGTTATCCTTTCTGTCTTTTCTTTCAGAAAAGGATCTGCGCATCCAGGTAAACGACAAGTTGAACATGAGCCAGAAATGCACCCATGCAACAAAGGCGGCCAACAGCCTCCTGGGCTGCACTAGGAAGAGCACTGCCAGCCCGTGAAGGGAGATGATCTTTCACTTCTACTCAGCCTGATGAAACATCTGGAGTTCTGGGTCCAGTTCTGGGCTCCACAATTCAAAAGAAACATGGATATACTGGATTGAATCCAGCAACAAGCCACACAGATCATTAAAGGACTGGAGTACCTATCATAGAAGGATAGGCTGAGAGAGCTGGGATTGTTTAGCCTTAAGAAGAGAGGTTTCAAGAGGGATCTTACCAATGTGTATAAATACTTTATGAGAAAAAGTATAGAAGATGGTACCAGACTCCTCAGTGGCATCCAGTGAAAGGCAAAGAGGCAATGGGTACAAATTGAAATACAGAAAATTTCATTTACAATTGAGAAAAAACTTTTTCCCTGCAAGGGTGGTCAAAACCAGGTACAGTTTGCTCAAAGAGGTTGTGGAGTCTTCATCCTTACAATATTCAAAACCCAGCTGGGCATGGCCCTGAGCAATCTGCTGTAGTTAACGCTGCTTTGAGCAGAGGATTGGACTAGTAGATCTCCAGAGGCACCTTCCAACCACAACTATTCTGTGATTCTATTGTTCTTCACTGTCTAAAACTGAACTCAACTTTTTTACCTTCCATGTCTGAAAGCAAATCTGTACTGAGCTTTCCCTCCAAATGCCTTAACACCTGACCAGTTTATTACTACTGGATATGAATTAAAGAGGTTAGAAATAAGGAAAGAAAAGTTTTTTTTTGAAGGAAACATATGTGAAAACTTTGGCAACTGCAGGAGAGGAAGGCTGTAAAGGCTGTTCTCTAAGGGATATATTTCAAAAACACCCACATAGCAGAGTCCGAAGACTCATTAACCCCAGGCTATAGGAGAGACATGCATTTTTAGCAGAAAAGCAGAGTCAAAAGAGGCCTACCAGACAGCAACAAAATTATTCTAAGGCCCAACGGGTTAAAGAGAGCAGTGAAGCTACAACGTTCTACCTGTTTTGTCCTCCTGAAAGCTCCTTTAGACCCTAGCCAAACTTTGCTCTAGAACTGCAGGGCGGGTATTTTGAGATCTGGGCTTTCCCATCATAGAGAAACATTTTAAAAAAAAAAAAAAATCAGTTCTTTACCTGCAATTACACACCATGATATATCATGTTTGTGTCATCTCTGCCTTCAATTCGACAAACTACCACAAATTGCATCAATGATCAACATACGCCATTTGATTATAAGCCATTTGATCATAAGCCACAAAGGGTTCAGTTCTGCCAAGGTTTCAATCAAGGCTGAGGAGCAGATGTCCTGAAGATTTGTGAGCATGGCATGCATAGAGCCTGCATTCTGATTCAGTCAAAACTAATTAGATCTTTCAGGCAACTTCTTTCTACACCTGGGTATGCAACACTTATGGAAACATTTGTCTCCTCCTTTCCCAGACAGAGTGACGAGGTCATAGAAAACTAGTGTTCCTCGAGGTTCTTCAAGCGGCTGCACCACACTGGCTTGGAATAAAACAAAATACGGAGAACTCCACTCACAGGAGTTCCCACAGCCTTGACAGAGGGGCATCGTGTCAGAAAAGAAGTCCACCAGTGTGTTTGTAATATTCAAGACATACCAGAGCTTTAAAATAAAAGGTAATCTCCTCTTTGAAAGGAAGAAATGCTCCCTCTTGGATCACTACATAGAAGCCACCCTGCAAACTACTATCTGCTGCTGGGCCTTCGTAGCACTATTCAGCTGATGTCAGCAGTCCCAGCTTAAGGACAATTACCCATTCCTGTGAATGAGGGAAGGTGTCTTTTCTGAGGATGTCTGAGGTCTGTGCAAGGAGCTACTGTTCTTCAGCACCTTCCTCCTGGAGAAAACTGTGTGAGGAGGTCACTACAAAGTAGGTAGGATTGTTTTCTTCCCTTTCTTCCTCTTTGCATAGAAGAAAGGTGAACAAAGCTACACGATTTCTTTTTACACTTCATATATCTAGTTTCCAGCTCCGCAGAGACAAACTCAATAGCAAGAATATATTGTGAACCCTTGATTGGTTCAGTGCTATTTGGACTGATGCATCCAAAACTAAAAAGAAGACTTGGCCAAATGAATTTCTGAAACATAATTCCATCAGTTGTAGAGAGCCAAGTGCCATTTCTTCTGTGGGCTACACAATGCCAGGAGTCACAGTTCTTTCTCAGTGCTTGAGAGTCCATAATTAGCACAGCCCTACAGTGAGGACTATCATTTTACATTAACAAATCCATCATTTGGGAATTAAAACTGCAGATTATTTTGTGAAGCATGGCCAAGATAAATCTTATTATTTAAAACAAATCTTTGTAAGTATTGACAAATGTAATAAAATTTCAAACATGAAAGCAAAAGAGAAATTTTTACATTCCAATTCCAGCATTGTAAAGGAAACTCTTTCATGCTTAAAATTCAAACTCAGCGTGTCAAGTAATTTCACTGTTACAGACTTGAATTACCTGCACTGGCCTGAGGGCATTATTCACTCTCTGAGAAAAATTGTACTTTAATATTGCTATGATTTTCCCAAGTAATTTTTATGCAGAAGCCAGGATGAATTCGAAACATCCATTTCAAGATTAAAGTGACGACATTTGGTGACTGCAGAGAACCATGCAATTGAGAATTGGGCTTAGGGATGTGCCCAAAATTAAATATGGGAATGAGAAAACAAGATTAATAAAAGGACCAATGTTTTGCTTTCTTTGCTTAACTTCTGGGATGTGGATAGTAAATAGGGTTATAAAATATAAATAAACCCTTACTTCAAAAATGTTTAGATGCATACACTACATTGAATGCTTACACTATATGGGAAGACCATGAAATTGTTGGCCACTGTCCCAGCCCATTTAATAATTTCTGTCACATGCAGGAGGAAAGATAATCGTCCCACTCGGTTTTAATGGATCCATTTTTGGAAGCACTGAATTATTAATCTCTTTTAGGGGTTATCCGCTGCCTGATCATTTGTTAACTTCATATGAAGTTGGGGGCTGGACCCAGAGCATGCTCTGAAGAGGCTTAACTCCACAACAGAGCCTGAAGTGAACTAAGGAGCTCCATCACTGACCTAGATAGGGCAAGAATTTAATGTACAAATAAATGACCTTACCCAAAAGTGTATATCAAAAACCTTTCAGCAGCATGCTTCCAGGTGAAACTCTGGATGAATTGGTTCTCTTGTGAGCATGTGACTTTGAAGAAATATGCAGATAGAAAAACTGATGCTTTTATATAATGGATTCTACCAGTAAAATAGCGTAATAGGGAGCACCCAATGTTTTCATTATTTAAACAAAGTTTATTGTAGGATAGTAGATGAAAAATTTTACTATGTTAAAAAGTAGTAGGATTTATTAAAGAAAGGAAGTGAACAGATTAATTCTTTTCTTGAAGAATTCCCAGATTAGCTGTCTTACTTTTTCTATTAAGGTGGGGCCACTTCATTACAAAATCAACCATAACTGCTGGTGTCTTAACTCACTACTTTCAAGGTAACTAGTTGTCTTGATAGCAAATTTTCTTTAACTCTCTAAGAATCTCATTACCACGTTTTTCATTATTGTAAAACGTCGATTAACTACATATAATGAGGTTTAGGAGTAACTGTTGAGCATTGAGGGAATTTATCTTGTAACTGACAGAGGCTAGGGGAGCATGACATGGGACATTTTAACAACTGATGTGGGGACAATGCAGGTTCACATGTGTATTCATTCTTATACGTTGAATCCAACGTCATCCTTAAGTTCTTGCTCTGTGAGCCAATGAAGGCTGAAAATATCACTCAGGACAAGAAGCAGCAACTACTTTGATGAATGAAATATGAAAAACTAGCCGTGACAGAAGTTCATTAGTTTCCTCTTGTATCTGCAGCGATTTTGCCCAAGATTCAGTCTTGTTGGGAAAGAACAGCATTGTAAAGCAGAGAGAAGGGATCCAAAAGAAAAAAAGAAGGCCTCCTTTGAGAACTTTGAGAAGTAAAGGTCTCCTTCCAGAACTACTAGCCTGGTTTTTAACAGATAACACTAGAAAGACTCACCAATGACTGGTCTCCCAAAAACACGGTAAGAAATCAGTGAACCTCAGTAAGTGGGGAAATCTACCACATAACCTAGGCATACTGTGCTGTTGCTCACTGCAGTAGGAGAAATCTAAAGCTACAGGAAGTAACTGCGATATAACTGTGTGTGATCCTCTGCCTACTGAAGTCAATACAAATATTTCAATTCACTAAATTGTGTATTAGATTCCAGCCACTAAAGAACCAATAGTAACCAAACTATTATACCATAGGATAAAATAAAACAGTACAGTGTCAAAATATACAGTTGTGACAATATATCATAACATTAGCTGAAATGAACTCAGTGTGTTTTCTCCTTTAGCTACATCTCCCCTACTAAAATTATTTCAACGTTTTGATTTTTTTGCTAAGCTTTTACTTACCCGAATAAAGACTTATTTTTGTTGTTCTTCCTCTTCTGCTACTGAAATGCAGCTCTGATGACTCTATCGCTAAGTGGCTGAGTTGGTCTGAAGTTATCTCCTAGGATTCCATCACAGCCCTCTAAAAGTTCTGCACCTTTAACATGTGTCCTCAGTCTACGAAATTCCTCTATCTGAAAGGCAGAAAAACAGACATGAAGAAGCTGAGATACATTCTTCACTGTGGGACTAATGATCAAAATCAGCCTTGCCCAGCCACTTCTGCAGCTTTGAAACTTGGACTGTTCAGGTACCATATACTAAGGTCAATATACATCATTAATAACATTTGAAAATAGTTGTCAGCACTATCAAAACATTTAACATATAGAGAAAAATAAGAACTTTTACACACATGGTTTGGCAAACTTATCCTTTGCTTTTTCGCAACTTCCTTTGAGATCTATAACCTTCTTAGCCATTGTAGATTACATCCTACGAATCAACCTCGCAGTTGTGACAGGAGAGTAATCATTCTGGTCTTCAAAGAAGTGCATTTCAGGAATAACTTGGTTGACTATAAATTGCTTTGAATTTTTTCCAGTGATTTATTTATTGCCCGAAATTTTTGCTTCATTTAAATAATAATTATTTTCTAAACCAGGAAAATCGTGAACAGACTCTCAGCTTTAGAGGAAGTCTGTTGACATTTTATATAGAAAAATATGGTTTTTCACACCAAAACAAATTAACACTTCAAAATTTCTGCAGATGTAGGTGCTAAGCATACTTAGAAAATCAAATACAGTCAAAAATCAATATAAAACATTTCAATTGGGCCATAACAAATATGTTTCCCATTTATAGACTCTTTTTAGAGGTTTCCAAATCTAATATGGTGTAGGGAAGAATGTGAGCAGCTTCCACCTCCATCCCTGGTATCAGCATCAATCTCCATGTGATAGAAAACTAAGAAAATCAATGCATATCTCAACAACATTACATCTTACTGTTCAACAGTGTTGTTTGTAAGAGTCTGGTATTTTAAATAAGTAGTTACAACTAGTAAAAGAAATTGTGTTTATTTTTGCTTTGGCATATTGACAAGCTATCTTAGCTGGATACAGCAAACCTGCTTGAAGGCTGACTCGCCTAGCCTTAGCCTTTGTACTTGTACTGACCTTCTGATGCCTCACTATCCAACTCAGCTGTACCTTGAAACTGAAGCTACACAGAAAGCAAAATGGAGCCTGAAGTATTTAATCATTTTATCACGTAAGAAATTATAGAGAGAATTTCTCAAACCAAAAACACCCTATGAGGGATTACAGGGAGAATGCAAATGTGATTCCAGAATTAAAAGAAATGAGGTACTAAACAGCAGGTAATGGCATTTTTATTCTTATATTGCCTGCAGAGAATACTGTCTTACTGCAACCTTGAAGACAACTGCCTTCATTGTTGTTTTCCACTCTACAGCAGAATTGATACACTTATTTACTTGATTTAGAGGCTAGCTCTGCTCTGCTGTATTTTCCTCAAAAACCAGTGTGCTTAGAAATCAACATTCAGCTTCTTGCAGCTGAGATATAAGGCAACAGCTTAGACTGAAAAGATGAAAAGCAGAACAAACTATAAAGCTCCTTGAAGGTGCTTTAAGAGGCAGAACTCTGTTTTGGAAGATTGTTTGTTTGTTTGTTTGTTTAAAGCAAACTGAAAACAAACCCACTACAGGCTTGGAACTGAAAAAGTCTTCAGGAGTCAAGTGCTGGTAAATCACTGAATGGGTTTTGTAAAGGTACCCTCTTTCACCATCTGAATCAACTCCAGAAAGTCTGAAATAATTGTAGTTTAGGAAGAAGCATTTTACAAAAATGTGGGTTTTGTTTGATCTTTTGAGAATGAGAGACTTCAAACAAACACAGATGAAGGAGAGGGAAGAGCAGACTCTCTGCAAAGCTGGCACTTGTGAGCTGTCTCCTACAATAGCTACAAATGCTCTGCCCCAATCCCCACAGTGAAATCTTTCTCCAGAAGGCACTCCTCACAAAGTAGCTTCCAGTTTCTTCAGTCAGGAAAGTAGGATTGACCTGATCCCTGTGCCTGCTCTTTCGTCTTCAGGGAAGTCAAGAATTGCAGCCCTACTCCAAGGGGGAATTGCTTCTGAGCCCACCAGCCTCCTTGTTCAGTTTTTCATACCATGGTTCAGACCCCCATGACAGAGACCCTCTAAATACATGGTGGTCTGCCTCACTCCTGAAAAGTAGTTGTCAGAAAAGGATACTAGCTGTGTTGACATTACTTTTCATATTAAATTTCCATGTGGTAAGGCAATAATATGTGTGCCCCACTTACCCTGCTTCCTCTGATACGGAACCATTTACTATCTCCTCCCAACCCCTCACAAGTCATTGCTGTGAAGTACACCCTGTAGGACTGCCAAGCAAATAGATATTTTAGAGGCATATGGCTAAGCACCCTGGGGTATTCACATGCTTTCAACAGGAATAGCCATTTATAAAATGTTTTTCTCATGCCCAGAAGACACTAAGGATGACCCAGGCCTGTTCACACCAAAATTCAGGATCCAATTCTAACCAGTGAAAGGGTAAATACATAATTGTAGCTTTCCTACTGAGTAAAAACAAAGTTAGTTTATATTATGTAGAGTTTTGCAAGAATACTTTTACCACTTCCCTGTATTCAGACCCCGAGTACTGCTTTCTTCTGTTTCACTTAAAAATTTGCTGAAGAATAGAACACACAAAACAAAGAATTTGCATGTTTTCTCTACAAACATTTCTTCTATACAAGGAATAGAAGCATTATCCTTCTGTTTGAAAATTTCACATGCCTCCATGACACCTTCCAAGAACACAGACCTGTTTCTCAGTGAACAGAATACCGTGAATCTCTCAGAGTGCTTTATTTCACAAACTACATAAATTTTGCACAATTCCCACTCCAGCTCCATACGCTCATTACTATTTCTGTCCTTTAGGAGGTCTCGATTTTGAATGAGGTAGACAAAAGGACTAGAGACCTCACCATTCAATACAAAACTAGTTAACTCTGACAATGAGTACAGAAGAACGACAGCTCCTTGCTGCATCATTGTTTAAAATCCCTACTCTGAGTGGCTTAGACAATGTACTTATTCTGGGCTTCAGTGAACCACAAAGCACATTATTCACAAATGTCCAATTTTTAAAAAATGTAGTGGAGAGCAGCATGAGCAAGTCTTTTTCAGTTATTTCCTGCTCTTTACTGTCCTAATAGGAGGGAGTTTTCTAGGAAAAAATGTGCCAGGGAAGCACATCCTGACGCTGCAGTCCTGGCTTGCTCTTTTGCTGTTGATATAACCAACACACCCAGATCCCAGCTGCTGAAGTGAGGTGCATATGGAGATGAATCTCCTTTCACTTAACATTGACTTAGATCAGTAGCAAATCAACTCATCAGCTGAACTTTACTTTCTGTAAATGTCTTCAGGAGAAACAGAAAGAGGTTCTCTACTTTGCAATGGTCAGCCTATTATGCCTAGGCAAAAATAGTTACTTCTCCACTGTTTCAAAATAAGCAATGTGGAAATATGTAGATGTGACCATGAACTATAATTGCAATTTTATTCATTTTTTCCCCTTATGACCCACAGTTTGCTAAGCTGATCAATATTGCTATGTTAATTACAGAAAATGGGAATGTGAAGAAGTATCTTGTCTCCAATATATTAACTAGCTTCATCAGAGGAAGGCAATAAAACCTGTTCCATATCAGACTGTGTTGTTCTTTATTGTTACTTGTTATTGACACTCAGAAGTTGATTATTTTATGGCCTGAAAAATGAAAATAGAAAGCCTTGAATTTGTCTCTTACTGGCTATTACCACAGATGCTACAAGTATTTATATAAATCACTTGAAGTTTCATAAGCTATGTTCATTAGTATCCCACAGAAGAAAGTTCCACAAGTTAATGACACATGTAAAAATAATGTATTTAAATCCATTAGAAATGCATTTTCACTGATATCTATGCTTTAATACTACAAGCAGGCTTAATAAAATTAAATGCCTTTACCAGGCTTCCATGGATGATTCAGAATGGTATATGCTATGCTACATCCTCTTATTTTCCATAGACAAAAGCCCTTGCATTTCTAATCTCTCCTTAAACAGAATCTGTCGTAGGCACTCATGCCCACATGCAGAAAAGAGGCCAGATACTTAATTGCAGCCAAAATGCTAATTACAAGTTAAAATCTTGGATGTCATATTGTCAGCAAAATATTCTGGCAGCCCCAAAATCTTATTTTGGGCACCCTGGGGAACTCTCAGTCCCTTTTGACTTTAGAATCCCAGAATCACCGTCTCTCACTTACTTGTCCCCATATTTATCTTCAGTTGACATCTGAAAGCAGTATCTGATGCAAGTAAAATTTTTATCCCACCTTGGCAGAAGTCCTTCATGTTCTTAATAAGTCTTTTCTACACAACCATGACTTTTAATGCTGCTGCATTCATAACTAGCAGTGAGGATTTTTTTTCTAATTGATGCTGATCTACAAGTACAAAGTATTGTGGATCATCTTGGCATAAGTCTGCTCCAACCTCTCACTCTGTTCCAGTGCCACACATACTGAGTCAGTGGCAGGGAAAAAGCCCCTCCATGACTTGTATGCCTTCCATCAGTGCAATATTCTTGTTGAATTGGGTTTATACCAATCAAAGTAATGCAGCAACACAAACCAGCTACACCTCATCTAAAGAAGGCCATGGTTATGAATCATATTCTTTTCCCCAGGCACAATATTCTCTTCTGGAGACATCCCCTTCACACCACATTCCAACATCTTGTTTTCTTGTGGTAAATGAGCACATAATAATATCAACTAAAGTTGAATTTCTCTGCTTAATTCCTCCTTCATTCACCCCCTTGCAATCTCCCACCACATGCAGATGGCTTGAACTGTGCCCTTCTCTGTGCATTGACTGGATTAAAAGGGAACAGAGACTACAAAATGTGCAACTAGCATGAAATAAAATATCATACAATGTCTCAGTGTAATAGCTATGGTCTTCATATTTCTGATTAAGTCCTCTTATTTATCCATATCATATCTGGAAAATTAGCTGCCAAGTTACAAAATGCACTCTGTCTTTAGAAGTTATTCTGAATCTAATAACGCCAACAGAGTTCTGTTTCCATTTACTCAGTAGTAAGCAGCCATAAGACTTATGCTTTCATAAGCAAATAAATACCAGATTCATGATGGGATACATTTAAGTTGCAGCTACCATACAAATAAGCTTATTGGGAGCTATTGCTTTTATCTAATGATTAGAACTAGAATTCAGTTTTCACATGAAAAGAAACACTGCCAATTTCAAACTGCTAACAATTGTTAAAATATTGTGCTGGGATTCCTAGCAAAATTTTAGATTATTAAAGCTGAAATAATTTGAATGTGAATTTGTCACCTTTTACACTTTTTTCTCTTCAGTTTGCACATGCTTCAGAGCAGGCAATGAAAATTAATGCATTCAGCTTCAGGGATTCTAGGTAGTTTCACTTAAATTAAACCCACATTCCTCCAGTTGGGATTCACAGTCTGTGGGAGAATATTCATCAGGAGTTTTCATTGTTTTTACTGGGATTGTTTGTAGAAAGGTTTGAAATGTTTCCTATAGAAAGGCTCACATGACTGTTAGATATAATTTTAAAAAAATCCTTTAAAATACATACATGTGAAATCAAATTTAAATAGGTAGTTTCCATTTGACATTTATTACAAAACAGAATTTAAAAAGAGCAAGATAAGTTAAATATAGTTCAATGCAATATAGCTAGCCTGTACTATGTTAACATTTTTCATTCTCCAGGACATAGTGTCTCTCTATGCTTTTTTGTTCCTTTAACATCAAAAAGCAGTGATATTTGAAAGCTTACAATTACAAAGAATTGAATTTCTTTTGCCCATTGACTTCTTTCTTTTTCTTTCACTTAAATAAAGAATTATTTTAAATGTAGATGATAAATGATAACAAGGTTTTTCATCTCTGACCTTTGCATTGCTTTCAGTGACTCAAAAGGCTTAACCTTTACTTGAAAAGCCATGTACTGATCTAATGGGATCTTCAAGGGGAACAGATATAATGCCCTGATATATATATTTGCACGCTATAACCTTTAGCTCATAACCATATTCCAAGGTCACTTTAAGCACAGCTGTTACCTGCACTTGGGACACAGTCAAAGGATAGCGAAATAATATCCAGGTGACACCTTCACTGCAGGGTGGAATGGTAAGAGAGCCCTCATACACCCAGTAGTCACGCAGTAGAGGATCTGAAATTAAAAGAAATGTGGAATTTTAATGACATTAAGAAAGATAATTGTGTCTTTCCAATTATGACAGCTTACGATAGCCATGGGCTTGCTCATATTATGAAGTTAGTATGCAGTAAGTTAAGGTGTGAATTTATAACCTGCGAAGCACTGTCTGCTACTTTCTCATGTGAATGTACATGAGCTTGTGGTCATTATACTACAGTAACTTCCCCTTGCAGATGAGTATTTTAGAGCTGAAAATGGCACTTCATAGATGTGAAAAATAATGTGGATAACTCCTTAAACTAGCATAGCGATTAAATAATATGGTGGCAAATAACTCCTGTTGGTGCCAAAAGGTACAAGAGACATCCCATTTTGAAGGCAGAGGGGCTGTGATAATTAAATTTTAACTGACTTCTACATTCAGAATATGTCTCAAGGATTAATTTATTTCATTTTTTTAGAAAAATTCAGCGAAAACAGCTCAAGCCAAACTTTTCAGTTCACAATTCTGGTGACATATTTTTTGAGATCCACTGGTGTCTCCTAGCTTTGGAAAAGTGAGTTGAATTTTACAGGGAAAAGAAAGGAAGGTTTATTTAAGAATAAATTATTTTAATAAGTTTATAAACTTATTAATAGGTTTATAAATAAGCGTTAGAATAAACAGTTGTCTCTCAAGAACGTGTACAATGATTTGTCCAGAGTTTTAACTCTACATACTTGTTTGATTTTAATTATTCTAATTCCACAGAGATTGTAGTCACACTGCACTTCATAAGTGAGACTACACAGGGCTGCCCTTTGCTGCTGTAGGCCATACTCACAAATGACTCCCTGACACAGCTTAAGAAGTACATCTAGGAAACTGCCTCACTGTAAAAGAGGGGACAAGAATCAAACCTTGGGAAGAACTGGAGACAAAGGCTGGTTAACCATGGCACGGAGAGCTAGGAGGAAGGTTGTGACTAGCTTGACAAGGACAGGATGGGAGGTTGGAAACTGGAATAAACTTGCTTGGTTGATCTAACTTGTTACTGCCATTTCACTACTAGCTCAGGGGAGTATCAGTAGAATTGAATCTTGCTAATGAAACTTGTGATTGTCAGTGAATGGATTTTGTTTTGTTGGTGTGATTTTCTTTCTCAGTTAGGGAATTACATAGCAAATCCATTGAAAGCAAGTTGCATTGTCAAACACTCAAAAGTTAGGAACTGCAAGAATTAATTCAGCCCATCCTGTGCATGCATTGTGACACCGTCTTGTTACATGATCACGTATGTCTTTCCTAGAGAACCTTTCATCATGTACTTGCAAAGATGGATGATTTTCTTTTGAAAACCATCTAATAACATTTGGGTTTCTCAGTACAATATCTGGTCCTTTGTCTTCTTTCCCCCATGCTATTAAAATCCTGCTTGTTAGAAGGACCACATTTTCTCATTTTTCATATTTCTAATGCACTCATTTCTTCAGTGTCTGAGTGCTTCACAAACATGAATTAATTATCCCTGGAAGCATTCAAAAAATGGGTAGATGTGGCACTTCGGGACATGGTTTAGTCTAGTCTACCCTTGACTGGTTTAGTGTGGACTTGGTAGTGTAGGTTAATGGTTGGACTAGATGATCTTAAAGGTCTTTTCCAACCTAAACGATTCTATGATTCTATGATTCTATGATTCTCTAATCTATCCTTCCAACACTGCACTGTGGTGAGGAAGGACAGATTACCCCCACACTTTAAAGCTGGGGAACTGAGGCACAGAGAAGTTAATGTCAAATGCATCTATTCGTTTGAGGTGTTCAATATGAGATGCTTAGAACCTGATTTCTCAGAGTAGTTAACTTTCTATAGCACTTAATGCAGTCAGAGCACTGCTCCCATTGACTTCAGTTGGAGGTGTAAGCACTCAGCACTTCTGCAAATCAGACCCCATGATCTCAAGTCGGGCACCTAGAAAATGAGGAACACATAGTTAGAGATGACTTATGAAAATTTTGGTTTATGTGACTTGATCAGCATCAAACAGGAACTCTGAGGCAGGGGTCCTGTAAAAAATAACTTATGGCCATGCAATTAAAAGACGTTTTATAATGCATATGCATGAAGGGGCACAGGCAGCCTTAATTCCTGCAATTCCTAATTGCTGAGCACTTGACTTTGCAACCTAAACAATATTCTTTTGATATAATTAATATAGTTTAATGTAGACGTGGATTACTTTGGAAAATTAAAGATCTTGCCACTATGACACAGAATTTAGCTCAGAAGGATTCCTTGCAGAAACATTGGTCTTGTAGAAACGCATTTTTTAAAAAGTCACATTTTTTTCAAGACGAGGTAGAGGAAGTGGTTGTTTCTTACTGTTACTCTCTAACTTTTAGCTATATGAATTTGAATTTGCCTCCCGTTGTCACTACTCCTTGTACGCTATACAACTGTCATTGCATCATGGCATTGTCTTTTGATGCTGCCAGAAAGCTACCTTGCTGAGTGGGTATTTTCTGCTGAAGTTGAGAAAGGAGCACACACAGCTCCCCCTCTAGGTGGGATGATAAATCATCAAGAAAGCTAGCTACAGTGTTGCCAGCAGTGCATGGACTACAGTATCACATCCCACTCACACGACAAAGGTGAGGATTTATCATAAATTCCAAAGGGACTTCATCCCTATCCCTGTCAGCACCACTAGATGCAAAATGCATTACCACCTTATGGGACACACTCTCAGGCTTGCAGTTAGACTACGCTTTAGATCAAGATTGTCTCAGCCTCTGCAATTAGCTAGTAATCCACCCACATAAAAGTAAGCAAAGGCACCTACCTGGCAATAAAGAGTTGGGATTAAAACAGGGTATTGTTTTGGACTTTCCCTGAAAAAATGAATACAAATCAATCTCATCTCTAGTTTCTTATTAAAATGATGATGAATGGAGAGGTAAAACACACTGTGTGTTCTTACAACATTAAGCCTTGAATTCCTGTGCAAAGCAACCTCATTAATAGCCCCCATTTAATCATCATTGCATTTGTCCTTGCAGCTACATGAACACGGTTTTTTATTCTATTTTATATTTTACTTCTGAGGTTATCTCAGCAATTTGTTAACTTTCTGCCTATAGTACCTGGGCTGCTTCCAGGTCCTTGCCTTGAAATTCTCTACATGAAATTCAGGGGTTCCATACAATACGAGTTTAAAAAACAAGGGCCAAAGTGAGCTTTTTCATGGCCAAAGTGGATAACGCTAACAAAATAAAGCTGGTTCCACATATTTAATGCAAAAACATTTTACATATGCCAAAAGTATGTTCGATGCTGACCCTCTGAATGTCATTAGTATAACATGCTCACAATGATGAGGCCTTTCATGACCTTCCTCTACTTGGCTGTCCTTTCAGTAATGAAACTACAGAGTTCCATACACTAGTTTTCTCTGACACCTTCATAAACAATGAGTTTGAAATATTAACCATCATGACTGAAGTTTACTATATATTATTTGACTAAAAGAAAATTTTCAATTCCCTTCTAATAACAGCTTCTAATTTTTCTACACTTTGGCATCCATTGAAGTGAATGCCTAATCTCTCCAGAGCAATACAAAATGTCTCATTAATACATTTCAAAATCCTTTAAAATCAAAGGTAAGTATGATTATTTCTATGTTACAGACAGAGACCATGAAGCAGAGAGATGGAAGTAACTTGCCCAAGGTCATTTAAGATAGCATCAACATTCTGGAGAGCACTCATATCTCCTCAGTCCTGCTAGGTGTATTATCTGTCCTTCAGGATCCCCACACATAATCCACCTGACAAGACGGCATTGTGTTTTTGCTGATTTCCCACTGCAAGTTAATATGGGCGCTCAGTTCATCTATTCTGTTCCTCTACAAATTAAAACCAGGTAAATTGGAGATGCTGCTGCTGCTGGTGTTCACTAAGCATTGTGTGAATGTGCTTGCATTCACACTGACTTCATGGTAATCACTGAAAAGGTAGTACTTGCAATCAGTTACTGGTATAGAAGATCAAAGCTTCTGGCCATCAGAAAAGAAAGTAATTATAAAGACTGCATATTATCTGAAAGCAGTGTAAAATGCTGAGCTTCTGATGCAGGTCACCAAGCTACAGCTTTCACACGTGCTTTTACTACAGACGTATCCGGAACCCTTTACTTGGCTTCAGTGTTTTATATATACCCTTTGCTCTCTCACTCTCTGGTCAGTGAAGGAAGCGTTTCTTCAGACAATGCCTTACCTTGTACTGGATGTCCTGGAGAATTTCAGTTACAGCCTTTAGGCCTACATGCTCTTTTCCTATCTGAAATACAGCAAGCAAAGATGAGTTTCAGTATTTTGCTATTTCTGAAACTGTGAGGCAAGACAGAGGTCAACCAGAACAGTAAGTTCTGTAGTTGTTTTCAGTTAAGCTACACAACCTTGTGTTAACTAAATACACCGATACATGGCAACTCCAAACAATTAAATCACAATAAAGACACCAGCCAAAAGTAAACAAGGTGTAAGTAACTTTAAAGCAGAGACAGAAACTCACAGAACAAAAGAAAGAGTCACAGTTAAGCCTGCTAAGTTTTGATAACCCTGTTTTGCAGCATATACTGCATGTGGAGTCAAAATCATGCAGCATTATGGCATATAAATGCCAAGGATAAAGTTTGTCCTTACCAGTTTTTGTCAGAAAAGTACACAGAAAGGAACAGAGTGCACAAACATGACAGACACTTTTTGAATTTGTTGCAAATGTGGCCCAAGGTATCTCTGAAGCTTGGGGGAGTTTTTTCCTGCCTGCAGAGCACAGAATGGCAGATCCCCTCTCTCATGACATCTCTGGGATCCTGCTCCCAGCAGCCTGCAGCACTGCCTTTACCGAACATCTTTAAGGAACAGAAAATGGGGCTTTCAAAAGAAACCCATTCTTGAAATAAGATATTCTTATTTTGTATGAACATTGTTCACCCTGTACGCTGATTTCAGCTGCTTCTGATCTAAATCACCCATCCTAGGACCCTGGCTTTTAACTTCAGAACAACATTGGCAAAATAGTAAGACTCAGAACAGCCTTCCACTTGAATTCTTTGCCACCGTGTACACTAAGAGGTGAGGAATGAAGTGGGCATGAGTGAGAACAGGGCAGCTGGACCCTGAAAAATGTGTTCACTTTTTGTTTCTCTTGGAATAGAATGCCACACTGTTCACTGGAAGGAAACAACTGAATGTCAAAAATAGGTAGTTTGTAATTTCTAGGAATTTAAGAGGATTTTCTCCTGTTTCAGAATGGGATTTCCATTTAAAACCTTTGAAGTGGGTAAAAGATATTGAAATCACTTCAAAGATGTTGTTTCTACATTAATTATCACCAAGGGCTGTCACTTAAATCAGTGAAAATATTTTTATTGACCTTAAAATTACGTGTTTGAGAACTGTGGTCCAAAACTATTATATTTCCATGCCTTTAGCAGGAAAAATGGTCACCAAATTTCCTCTCCCTGTTCCTTTAATAAACAGCATAAATACTGTTTTTACTTGGTCAATTGTAATTATATGATGTCTTTCTTGGCTAATGAAAAAGGCCTCTGGAATGCTTAAGAACTCTGATGAGGGCGAGAGATCAGAAATGGAAAACGTATCATTGAAATTTCAGATTTATGTAAGAACTTGCATATAACTTTCTAACTCACTCAGAGGTTACCTCTGCTGGAATTAGGTGGTGACTTACATAAGCAATTATCACACAACCCTCTAGGATACAAAACTGAAGACTTTCTAACTTCCAATTTTAGCAGTTCTATCTGAGTGTTGGAGCTGTAACCAATGTACCTTTAAATTCAAACAGAGGTAAAGCTCAAAGGCATTCATAAACTCGTTACAGAATATGACAAATTAATAATATCACTGTGAAAGAAAATCCATTTCATCTAAGCACAAACTCTAAACCTCTTCCTCCAAACCCATTTAAATAAAACAGTTTGCCATTTCTCATGAGGAGGATGACAATCTGGTGCTTGAGGACTAAAACGGAAAATCTTCTTTAGAGTGCAGCCTTTGAAAAACCTTCAACAGCAATTAGATTATGGGGCTAACTTCCCAGCTTGCATTACACCTTCTCCCCAGAAAGCTTTAAGCCTCCTCGTTGCAGGCTTTTCTGAGGGTCTGTGGCAAGACTCTTTACACCCTCAGTCTGGCATCTCTGAAGCAATACGACTCCACCTCATATTTGTCCTGTGTGAAGAAGCACACTTGTCACTGTATTCAGAAAACACAACAGTACTACCAGTTTTTGGCTGTGCCAATGGATTAGTAGGGTTTTTTTTTTCTCTTTCCTCCTCTCCTCTGTAATTTCCTCGATTCTGAAACAGCAGGCCTGTCCAGGAATGGAGAAAGACAGATTACAGAGGTAGTAAAGCACCTGTACCTCCTGACAGTCCTCATTCTGCCCTTAGAGGAATGGAGAGTGGATGTCTGCTTATAGCCAGAGTCACGGAGAGAGATGGATGACTATGTATTACCCCTTCTTTAACTAACATACTTTCAATATCCTGTTTAAACAAGAATTACTAAACAAGATATGACTGAGAAGTATCTTTTGAATAAAATACCAGCAGCCATACCTTGTTTTATTTTATGAAATCATTAAAAATGAAAGAAAACAGAAAGGAACTTATTTTCCTCAGACAAATGATAGTGCATGATAACAAGTGCAACACAGGAAACTTACCTGCACAAACAAAGCAATAATAGCTATGCCGTGCTTCTTCCCTACTGCCTCATCAATGCTGCTGTACAGTGTTGAGTTCCAGTGCATTAAATGAAGCTAAAACAAAGCAAATAGACCAATAGAGAAATATGTTTTGTAACAAAAAACCACCAGCAGTTAACGTCAATTAACAAAGCCTCCCCATGTGTGTGTGCATGCATGAATATACATATGTGCATGCCTATGGCTGTGCATGTATATGTAAGTGGATTCCTATTACAAACATCAGGAATCCCAAGAAAAAGGTCAGCTGCAGAGAAAGTGATGTATAGCCAGTTACCAAATATCTACAACAAAGGTGTGAATAACTATGCTAATGATGATTTACCAACTCCCTCACTTTGAATACTGAAATAACGTCAGCTAATGAAACCCACCAGCATTGCCTCTCAGCCACCCAGCTCTCTTCTAAGGCAGGAGTATGGTTTTGGACATAGGCTGTCCAAACACACATTTGAGTGGCTGACTGTCCTATCTTAAATGTCACTTGTCTCACATATCACCTCCCAAGACGAGTCACTCTATCAGTAGTAAGAGTAGGAGAAGTGATTTCAGGAAAGGTTAAACATAGAGAAAGTCAAGCAGAAAGAAATGGCTGGAGGACCACCTTAGTGCTAAGGAGTAAAACACGAGCCCTCAACTGCCACCTTCTGCAAGGTAACGGGGCCTGTAGGAGTTAATGCGTGAACACACATCAGGCAGCAGGCACCGGATGGCAAACACAAGTCTGTTCCGGCGGCGAGGTGTCACAGCATGACTTGGGAAGTGGTGTTTGAGAAAAGTGGTGGGAGACAGACTAGCAGGTGGTTGGAAAGGGAAGAAGGAAGGGAGGGGAGGGAGGGGAAGGAAGAGGGTGGGAAGGGAGATGGGGGAAGAGGGGAAAGAGGAAAGTCCTGGAAAACAGACTGACAGCTGGAAAGAGAAAGAAAGAGAGAAAGGAAGGGGGAAGAGGGAAAGAAGGGCAGAAGAAAGGAAGGGTGGAAGAAAGGGCAGAAAGGCAGGAGGGAGGGAGGAAGGAAAGAAGGGACAGCACTATCTACTGAGAGGTAATATGCATTTCAAACACGAGTTTTTCCAGCATTAATGCTAAAATGTAATCTCTGCGGCTGGGTCTGATAACATTGCAGAGCTTCAACATCCTAAGCACAGCTGCTTTGAAGTTTATCTGCCAACAACTTTTGCACATTCCACATAGATAAAACAGCTAAAAAAATACAAACTCTTAGATTTAATTCCCATTGTAAAATCATGATCAATGTTTTGCTCAGTCATGTGTCTAAGAAGTTAAAATGTCACCCTGTTATCTAACATCGCTTCTACCTTCAGCAAAATTCGTTTTTAAAACAGATAGTGTGTCTTCCTATTCTGTGTTTCATTTCTGCCCAGTAACGGCCTCTGTGAAATGCTTATTGCCCCTTACACAGCAGGAGTTCACTTGGGCATCTCAGCATTTCAGAAGACAAGTTCCTCAAGCGATCACACTCCCCTTACTGAATCTCCAATGAGAATTTTGGGCATGCTTCTTGATTGCCATTTCAAAAGTCAATACAAAACTTTAAATTAACATATTGTAAATCAAATTAAATTCCAAATTATCATACAAATAATTCTATTCATGCTGACCAAAGGCATCTGCTGCAGTAAAAACATGAAAACTTTTTCTTAAAAAATGTAATTTTTTTCTAATTTGCACATGAGAACACTAATACAAATGTACTTGCTCACGGCTACAGAACTTCTAGATGTACAAATGCTCCCTGTTAGAACTAAGCTATCTCACTGTTGCCGATGGATTTACTTGGTGCTGTGTATTTTATCATCTATAAAAAGCTTCGTTATACTTTTAATTTGCCTTTGGCTTTTAAAGTAACAAAACCACAGGATTAAATAATGACATTTCAGTGTCCAATGCTCACTTTAGCGGACACAGAACTACCACCACCCAAGAAGATAAAGCGTTGCATTTTCCAAGACGAGCGTGGAGTTTGCATCAGCTACCCACTAGAGGGGGCTCACGGAGTCCCACAATCCTCACCAAGATCCTGACGTTAAAAAGGAAACGCGAGCAGAATGAGCTTGGGGTGACTGCAGTCGGGATGGCAATGTCCTTGGTGGAGCGAGAACAGCGCTGCATGGCACCGCGACTCGGTTGGTTGGAAATGTCAAAGCAAGCTTGTCCTTTGGTGGCTGGAACAATAGCGCTGAGGGTGATCGCCAAATGTAAAGAGACCATGACTTTGACTGTGTCAACAGGCGGGTCTTGGCTAAAGCTGCCGTGGCACTCGGCATGTTACGCTCCTTTGGAGGTGAAGTCTAATCTGACATTTCTCTGCATTCTGACAACAGTGGGTTTTTTCTGAAGATTTGAAAGGAAAATGCTGAGCCCTAGCAAGAGGAAAATGAGCAAGCGCTTCAGACCATACCAGCAATGACCCCCAGTTTATCCAGAAACAGACTGTTGTCCTGCCTTAGGCAGCAGCCTCATCAGGGCAGAGACCTTCCTATGATAAGGCTATGTATCAGTTAGAAAAATGACACCAGAACCTCTGTGTAATACTGTAAAACATTAAGAGGTCTAGAATTAGTCTGTGCAGCAGCATAAACAGCCTGACAGGAAGACGTGCTGCAAAACACACTTGGCTGCTGCATGAAAGGGGGACCACAGTGTGAAAAGCCCTGCAGCTGGAACTGCTTTCCAAGAACATACCTACTGGGCAGCACCTCTTCCCACCTCTCCAGGGGACATGGGGAGAGTAAGTTAAGTATTAGCTATGCATTTTAAGAGTATCTTTAGGTCTCTGCATCCCCTCCAGGCCTCCTTCCTTTCCACCACCTCAGCAGAGGTCAGGATGGTCTACTAAAAAAAAAAAAAGCATAACGCAAAGACAAAAAAGGGATGTACTTAAGGCTAATTTAGACACCCCTAGACTAGGTTCAGGTTTAGTAATGAACATTACTAAAGGTACTGAAATAGGCAGTAAGCACTTTCTGGTCCAGAGGTTTCTGTAACTTTGAGGTTCTGCTCAATGATGCCTAAAATACATAGTAGGCTCCTTGGAACAAGAATCATCATTTTGTACTGGGTTGCTAAAGCCCAAGGCAGAATGGACTTCTGGTCTGTGTTTAAGACGCTACTGTGTTACTTCCTTAGAGGCAGCGATAATTACAGTGGATTAGTAATCTATTTTTTACACAGCAGGTTGCAAACTTGCTGTCATAAACACTGTGGTGCCAAATAGTGTATCAGCAGGTTCATAAATGGATTAGACAAATCATGGACAAGTCCAAAACCAGACACTAAAGAGAACAAGTAGAGATGCTGCTTCTAGCACTTCTAGTCCTATGATGGTAGATGACAGGGGAGTACAACAAAAAGCAGTCAGGCTCATGTGCTCTCCCTACCCAGCGTCCCTTACTGGCACTGCTAGAGACAGAGTACTGGAGGGACCACTGGCCTGATCCAACAGTGTATTTATTATGTTCCCATGTTCCAAACCAAGGTGATATTTGGAATAGCTATTCACAGAAAAGGTTCTGTCATTAGGGACTTACAAACTGAAATTAGACAAGCAACCCAATGGAAAATAATAATTAATACCATAATATTTCCTAACAACAGGCCAACAGGCCTCACATCTTTTGCTCTCACTCTGATAAGCCCATGCACGCACATTACAATAAATAAATGGATGTCAACATGCACTTAAATAAATGGAAGTCAAATCAAATGAATTCTTCTACAGAGCAGGAAAAATGCAGCTCAGATGGGAGCTGGGTGAGTAAATGAAGAAGTGATTCAGAAAGGGAAATATTAGCAAGGAAGCAGTAAGGCCTGAGTGTTCATAGCAAAGTGTTGCTTTCAAATTGTGGTTTATCCTGTGTGTTCATGTGGTTCTCTGCAGCTGTTCTGTCTTTTGTTTGCTCTTTTTTTATTTGTAATATGACATCAGATGAAAACATCAGACAATAGTTAAAAAAAAAGATGGCAAAAAGTCTACAAACATTACAAAATTTGAAGTCTCTAGAGAGTACAGTCCACAAACAACATGCCTGTAACTCTTGTTAATATTTATGTGAATCAGATGTGCACAGAGGAAAGACCCCAGTGCTTTTACAAATCTTGAAACTGTCAATATAATATAATGCCCATGCACCTTGACAACTTAATACCCATGCATCTGTATCTTACAAGTAGTAACAGCCAGAGAGGCTTATTAGATTAACACTGTGTATTTTGGTAACCTTCAGTTTTACATTGATTTGAGACAGCTATATAAAAAGTACATACTCACAAGAGGTGCCAGTCTCTGATATGAACACAACCATGTGGGTTTTTTTAAATAATCAGCTGCAGTGTATTGGCAGCTTACCATTGTGTGGTTTTCATTCCGAGTACAAACAAGCTGCACATGTCAGTATGGCAGAAGAAGCTCTACTCAACTTGTTAGCTAATGTTTTGATACTTGGTAGTTATGATGTTTCTATACAACCAAAATGAGTCAGCTATGCTGTCACCGGTTATCGGTGGCTGGCTCAGCGTGCCAGACAGTGTATTTTTACAAAATAATCAGAAAGCTGTGAGAAACTCCTTAGCACTCAAAAAATACTTTTTTTCTTGGATAAAAACATAATTTGGAGCCTTTCAGTGTTCCAGCTGTAAATCAAAGAATTGCAGCAGTGACTTCCTTAAAATCAGATAAACTGAAAACTCATGAAGGCAAATGATAATAAAGTGCTGATAAAGTTAATTCGTTCTGTGAACAGCTGGAGAGACTCTCCTTCACAGGAAAGATTAAGAAATTATTCCAGGTAGCAGAGAAAACCCTGCAGAAGGATTATTCTGTATGGAACAAATTCTGAGAATATTCTCAATTTTCATCCAGTCCCTACTCAACCAAATGACTACTGATCCCAGTCCTTGCTTAGGAAAAGCTGACACTCACAAGGAGCCTGTCTCAAATCAAGACCTCCTCAAAACTGAGTAAGGACCTGAGATTCTGTCTTTAAAATCAATAAAAAAAATTAAAACCCTACACTTAAATCCATCCCTTTCTCTA